TTAAACTTTCGTATAACACTCTGGTTGCCTTGTGTCATTGTCAGATGTCACAGTCATATGTCACTTTGATTGTAATTGTCATTTTACTATGTATCCTAGACGGTATACACACGCTTGGTGATTTAGCCGGCGTAGCAGGCAGGCTCTCTATTTCACCTGATGTGAGTGAATCAACTGACACCCGCGAGGGAGAAGTCACGCGCGCAAGGAACAGAGGGAGATTTTTCTCGCGTGCTTGATCTCTCGAGCGTGTTTTACTCGCGTTTCCGCCGAGCACCTCTTGCGCAGGCCATTGGCCATTAATCTCCACGACAAACTTTTCCATTTGTAATTCTTGTTAAACAAGTCTCTGTGTCTTATTTGGTGTCTGGGATCTTACGCTCAAATTCAAAATGCTTCTTGCTCCAGATTATTCTAGATTTCTTCTTTATTCCGATTTATTTTGTTTTATTTATGAAGAGTTGACAAAAAATAGATCGTTAAACGTGGCGCTTATTCTAGGACTGGGTAGCAGACCACAGCCTCTGTCAAACTCGCTAATGGTGACACGATTCAATTTCATTATCAGTGACCATGATTTTATTCAGGAGCAAGAAAATCGTTTACTTTTGATGTGCAAGAGAACCATGGCGTTACCCGTAGGAAGGTGTGTAAAAATTTTGCTTATCGTATTTTGTCTTTTCTGTGACCTGCGTTGAGTTATTTGTGTGGGAAGAGCGGTTGTTTAATGTTTAGTGCGTTTGATTTCGAATTAAAAAACTTAGGTCCGAGGTGTCGCCTCATGATTATTGTGTCCTAATGAACTTTATTTTCTTTTGAAGAGGAATGTTCACAATGGCCACTTCTCGACCTGTATTGACCGAAACTATTCCAATTCCACTGCTGGATTTGACGGGACGGGCCCCACCAAGGTGAGTTGTCTTCTATAGGGGAATCCTTTTTTACAATATTTGCCTCATTAGCATAAGCAATTCAGTTTCTGATGGAGCTAAAAATAAATCAGTTCTGAATATCGAAAGGTCAAAGTACGATTAACTCAGCCAATGAATACGAGCCTGATGCATTGAACACTTTTTGTGCAACACGGGTTTAAAAACTCAAAATTTTACATAGAATGTATGAGCTCATTAGCGCTTTTGCCACCCAGAAATTTTGCAGTTTTTGATGGACTATTTCTCCTTGAATATTACACCCAAAGAGCTAAAAATTTCACCATGTACTAAGGTTTTCTAGCTCTTTAGCTGCCTGAAGTCAATTTGTATCTAACATGCTTCCTTCTTTACGCAAAGCCGTATGCAAATGAGCAAAAATGTAAACAATGACGTCAGCATGAATCCGCCTATTCCGATCC